CCATTGCAATTGCCGAGTAAACAAACTTCTCCGACTGTTTTAGGAAGAGTGAATACGGAGGTTGAGGATCTGGAAACCTACTCCCCTAAAACTATGCGTGTGTACCCCTGGGAAATTCTATGTACCCCAGGAATAGGGTATCCCAAAAGATGCTGGCTTGGAAGACGGTGGAGGGGGCAGGGGAGGGGAAAACACAGAACCTTAGACACTGGACATCTGGTCTTCAGGGCTCTGCAATCATCCTGAATCACAGCCCTTTGAAGAAAATCTATTCATTTAAATGCCCACAGACCTCTCCATAGCCCCAGGATACAAAAGCCTGCTTGCTAAAATTAACACGCGACTCAGTCCCCGTCTTGTGGTTGGTGATTCATCCAGCCGGGCCTGGCTCAGCTGTGTGGTTCTTAGGCTGCGTGATTTGGCAGTCTGACCAACGTAGGCTTACCCCCAGCGGTGGCTGGGCAAAATCAAGCAGGAGCGTTAAGTTCTCCTGGCCTCAGTTCCACATCTGCAAAGTGGGTATAACAATATCTACGTTGCATTTAAAGCACCCGGTGCCATTAGACGAATAGCTACCATTTCGGTACTTACTCTGTGCCAGAAACTGTCAAGGTCTCTTCACTTCTAAGATTGAATCCTCACAAAAAGCCTGAAAAGTAATTATGGTATTTCTTCACTTCTAAGGAGAATTGTTGTCTTCATTTAACACATCCAGAAGCCGAACTGTGCCTCGCATCGGATGTACGTATGGTTTGTTCTATTTTGCATGAAAACTTAACAAATCAGTGGTGAATCTCATAATAAAAAAAAAAGCGGTATGAACATCCCCGCTTTATGAACAGGAAGCAAGTCAAAAAACATGACAAGTAACTTGTCCAAGGCCATGCATCTAGAACGTGGTGGGACAGTCGGACAGACCTGGGACCATCCGTCTCCAAAGCCTGGGGGTGCCCCATCAATTTGTGGCTGCCTGCCTCCCCTGGCCCCAGCCCCTGGATTCTACCACACAGCCAGGACTTGGAAATGAGCTGAGTCCCCCCCAGGCCTTAAGAGCCGCCTCTGCCCCTTTCCTCACCAGATATAGTTGCCAGAACATACAGGTGCGAGGTCTTTAGATCAGTTCCACCGACATGTCCAAAGTAGTATGTCTCTGATGCCTGTGGCTTAGTTAAGGCCTCAGGGAACCGAAAACGGACAGCTTACCTGTACCCCCCCCCCACCCACCCCCAGCATCGAGGATTCGTCGACGATGCCATGTTACGAAGTCTGTTTTTTTTTTTAACATTTGTTTTGAGAGAGAGAGAGCAGGCGTGTGCAGGGGAGGGGCAGAGAGAGGGAGACAGAGGATCCCAAGCAGGCTCCACACTGTCAACGTGGAGTTGGGGCTCAGTCTCACAAACCGTGAGATCATGACCTGAACCGAAATTAAGAGTCCACTCTCAGCCAGCTGAGCCACCTAGGCGCCTCCTTTTTGGGGGAGCACGTTATACATGGGGGACACTTCCCCGCTGAGCCCATCCCGCACTAGCATCCCGTATCTCCCCCAACCCAGCCCGCCCCAATCTGCACTTCACCCCGTGCATTGAATCTTACGCGGCCAACGATCCCTGCGCGTGAAAGAGATGAGGCTTCTGCCATTGGCAGCCAGGCAATTGGGTATCTCCAAAGACGTCTCCCCGGGAATGTGCAAACGATCCTCTTTAGTCCTAAGTGGCAAAAGTACCATGTTCTGAGGTGCCTCTGTGGTCTCTATGGGGGGTTCTCTTTTAGTACGGTCTTAGGAGTATGTCCGAACCTGCAGGCTGAGAAACCAGTGCCTTTATAAAGATTACCTGGGCCATCGATGCATTGACTGTAAGGCCTGCTCACCTGCCGAGAAAATCTTGATTTAAACTCACTCATGCTGTGTTGAAAAAACGTGAGCTCAAAATGAAGTGTATAAAACAACCTTCATAGTGTTAACCCCACCAGACTTCGGTTGCCCTGTCTTTAGTCTAAAAGATCGCAGGGGCACCTGGACGGCTCAGTCGGTTAAACATCTCTGACTCTTGGTATCGGCCCAGGTCACGGTCTCACAGTACGTGAGTTCAAGACCTGCATTTGGGCTCTGTGCTGACCATGCAGAGCCTGCTTGGGATTCTCTCTCTCTCTCTGACCCTCCCCTGCACTCTCTCTTAAAATAAATAAACATAAAAAGAAAATAAGATTGCAAAGGTGTGGGGTAAAGATTAAATAAAAGCCTTTGGGAATCTAGGAGAGTCTGCACATTTTTCTGATCACTCTGGATGGGTCTCCAATTTGTATTTTAGGATAATTAGGATAACAGATTTGTTGCAAAATTTCTTAGCGTGTTGCTTCCCTTCTGCTTACCACGGTTGTTAATGACTTTGAAGTTAAAATAGTTACATTGTGGAATCTCAGTATTTCCTTTGTGGTTTATTTTACTGCTTTTAAGCTGGACTTTTGTCCACCCAATGTTTTCTTCTCCTTTTCAACAGTTCGATCCTTTTTTAACACCGAGGTCAAAATGGATAGTGCAGTGCTATGATCTAATTAGCTTCTTCTCAAATAGCGGACTAATTTTCCCAGTTCTGTTTATTAAAATATCCCGTTTATAAAAAATATCCCCAACGACGCTGGCGAGAAAAATGTTAAATGAGCCAAGGGCGGAGGGAGAGGAGAGTCGGGCTGGCTGGAGGCTCCCACCGGCGGGTCTGGACTGCAGGTGGGAGCCTCCAGCATAAAGAATGCAGGTGCCAGGGCACTTGGGAGGCTCAGTCGGTTAAGATCCGACTTCGGCTCAGGTCACTATCTCACAGTTTGTGAGTTCGAGGCCCACATCAGGCTCTGTGCTGACGGCTCAGGGCCCGGAGCCTGGTTTGGATTCTGTGTCTCCCTCTCTCTCTGGCCTTCTCGGGCTTGCACTCTCTCAAATAAAACGTTAAAAAGAATTTTTTTTAAAGAACGCAGGTACCGCCCTGCCTTGCTGAGAGCAAAGCCACCAGCTGCTTTCTCGCCGTGAGCCCCTCCAAACGCCCTCATGCTCGCTCCCCACCCCTCGCTGGCCGCCCACCTTTCTGGCCCAGTGCTATCTATCTGCTGCCTCTTGGAAGTGCCAGTAAAATTCTTGGAGGAACTTCTGCCGAGACAGATTTGGGGCATGACCTGGGGATTTCGGAAATCTGGGCCTGACGTGCTGCTGCTCCTGCTGCTGCTGACTCCTCTGGAGACCCTGACCACCTGAGCAGCAGCCGAGCACCGCAGGGAGCGCGTGGGGAGGGCCAGCCCATCCTCCCGGCCCGACAGGCAAGCAGCTTTTAAAGCCCACCGGACGCCTCACCTGTTGCACTGCTAACTCCCGTTACTGTGGAAAGACCCAGGCCACGTGGAGGCGACATTTCACAGCGGTTGAGGCCACAAGCTTGAGAGTCCCAGAGACCTGGATTGGAACCACTAAAACCGGCCTGCCACGCTCAGGGCTAAGTTGCTTTCCTTCGGGGAGTCTCATATTCTTTATCTGCAAAACGGGCCTGGCAACAGCAGGTTAACTCCCAGGGCGCCCCGAAGGATCACTGAAGATCATTAACTCGGTATTTATTTAGTCTTGTAGCTGTTAGTACTTAGCACAATGACTGTATCTGCTACAGGGGAACTCCTGCTCTGGCTTTCAAGGTACAAAGAGCCACAGGGTGTCTGGCTCACGTTGGGGACCCAGTGAACGAATCCATTTCCTTCTGGCATCCACCGTCCTGTGGCTTCCTGCCCCTCTCCTCCCCCCCGACTCACCCACCTGGTCACCCTTTCGTCAATATTTATCCAGTAATTATAGCTCTGGCCCAAGGTCACACGCAGATGGGTCTCAGAGTTTGCCCAAAAGGTCACGACACCTGCGGACTCCCATCACCCCGCAGGCCCGGGTTTTGAAAGCGTGCACACATCCTCCTTCAGGACGGCCTTCTAATTTCCTGGGGCCATAACCTGAGAGACAGGCCCGACCTGGGGGTGAGGACCCACATCTGCGAAGGCCACGTCTCCAAGCCCGGCACCCAACGCACAGCGAGCGCTGAAGCGTGGGCTCAGAACTTGAGAGGCTGGCCTGAAGGGTGGGCCGAGCCCGGCCCGCACGGGGGTGTTCGCACCCCAGTCACCGGACAAGGCCCTTTACCCAAATGCTCTGCCCACCATGCCGGTTACAGAGAACCTCGGGAGCCGTTTCAAATGGAGGAGCCCAACTGCCGACTCCGGCTCTCTTCGCACCTGGGGCGGAGAACGCGTCAGGGACGCCCGAAGACGAATTTGGGAGAACTAGGGCTCTTTCTGGAGTCTCTAACAGTGGGGCCCGTGGAGGAAAACTCGAACCCGGTGAGGGCACTGCTGGCGCCAATCCTCTGCCTGAAGGAAATGCTCCGGGCTCTCGTTCAGCCCTCAGCCCGGTCTGCGAGCGTCCTCATCGGTAGGGATGAAGGTGCGGAAGGAGAGTAACTTGCTCGAGGTGTGGCAGACTGGTCCTAGACGTGGACTGTTTTCCCCCAGCAGAAACCAGAAAGGGGCTGGGGGGGGGGGGGGCGGATGGTGGAAGGAACCCAGAACCTGAAACACAATGGCTTCCTGTAATCCGCCCAGGGCCCGTCCCACTGGGCGATGCTTGTGTAAGCGACACTGCTGCCGTTCAAAGGGCTGAGGGGAAAGGACACGGGGTGAAGGGGGTGCGAATCGCTGGGCGCTCTGTCTGTGGTAATGGGACATCTACACGGGCATGCATTGGCCAAAACCCATGGAACCAGGGGGAGCCCTAGTGTTCACCACGGATTCTAGTCAACTGTAACGCATCAATGCTGGCAATCAGTACTGGCACGTCCTGTTTAAAGATGACGGCTGGCAGGTCGGTCAGGAGCCCGGCGATAGCCACCCGGTGCGTGGACCACAAGCGTCAACTGAAGACTTCTCTTCCCGCCTCCCCCCCACCCCGACCCCCCAGAAAGGACCAGGGGCGCACTTCATCAGCGTATTTCAATCAGGTACTTTATTGTTCTGGCAACTGCAAAATATACAAATTTCTGAAAAGCATCCCCTGTTTGAAAGCTGGCACAGCGTCATCCCAGGTCGTTAATTCAGACAACTATACAGAACACAGAGAAGTCATGAGTCACACGTAAAAGGCCCCCCAAAACCAACCACCGAACTACACCCAATCTATACAGCTTTCTATTTTCAGGCTCCCTTGTACATATTAAATAAATAAATAGCACATCTGCTATCAAAATAATAAAAAAATAAATTTCAAGTATTACAAACGAAAAACATCATTGGTGCGGCCGTTCCTCTGCTGCCCGCAAACGACGAGCTTCGCCCACGGTCTCCGCACAGAATGAGGAGGGGAAACCCGCCCACAAACAACTATGCCAAGTGAACAAAATTGGTCCCAGGTGGTTTTCGGGGGGCCGGGGGAGGGGGGCGGGGAGAGGCCATAGTCAGAGTGGCAGGAGCCCCGTGAGTGCAGGTCAAACACGTCCCCCAGCTGGCGCCTCGAGTCCGATCACGGCTTTCGGTTGGGCAGCCTTCTGCAACCTCTGAGGTCTCGCTCCTCGTCCGCTGGCGCGTTCTGTCGCCTCATCTAGGCCCCGACAAACGCGTGTGCAGGATGTTCGCTTCGGTGGGTAATGACCTCAGCGGCCGGAGGCGGGCGGGGCACCCACACCCACACCCAGCCCCACGAGCATCATCGGCAGGAAGGGTCAAAGCTCAGCGTGGGCTCCGACAACCGGTGTGAAAAGGAGGCCAGAGAGAGGGACACGTGGAAGCCGTTTCGCGAGAGCTGGGCTGCCAGGGAGAAGACCAACCCACAAGCACATGCTTGTGCCCGTGCACACTCGCCACCCGACGAGACTCAGTTGGCAGGAAAGGGAAATAGCCCTTCTTCCGTCACACAGGAAGAGATGTTACATCTCCTCGGGCACGGTGCCCGGCTGGGAAGGAGGTGGGGGGGAGGGGGCGGGTTTTGGTGTGAAACCCATGAACTTGACCGCAGGGCATCTACAGCACATCCCAGTTTCCCACTGAACCCCAACCAGAGAAACACGCGTTGTCCGGTGCCCTCTCCGGATGTCCAAGCCCCCACAGCCGCTCTCCCAGAGCCTGTCCCGTAAGACAAGAGGGGGCGAGACCGTCAGGCTTGAAAGCAGAGGGCAAGCAAGGGAAGTGACCTTTGGCTCCAGCTTTGAGAGGTCCTCAAAGGGTCACTTGGACAAATCCTACGCCGGAGTCTCCAAATCGTTCTGTCTGGGCCTCAAGACGCCTCCTTTTCCCCAGGACGTGGAGGCAGCGAGGAGAAACCAGGAGGCAGAAACTACAGGTATTTCGAACCACACGTCTCCCTGCTGTGAGCCACCCCAAAAAGATGCCACAGGTGCCACGAACACCAGCGAGGACACCGTCTTCTTCGGACTTCGCAGCACCGGGCACCCGCTGGGCGTAGGGCAGGTGCTGCACAAAAACAAGCAGGCTGAGCTCAGTCCTCAGTCCTGCCAGGAGACCACAGGCAGCCTCCTGGAGGAAGTGGCCGCAAGTGAGGTCTCGGCTGGGCCACCATCCCCACCTGGGAAGCACAGGGAGGCGACGAACATCCTGGAGGAAGGAGGTGACCCTTGATCATCTCTGTGCCACCATCTGGGTCAGCCTGGCAATGATCCACATGACTTGCTCTCCGGCTGGTTTCCTGGGTCCCTCCGAGCTCCCCATGGCACGGGCGCACCCGACTCCCCATGTTCTTTCCGAGCTCCAGCCCCCACGGGAACAAACCCCAAACATGTAAGTTCGTGGAGAGAAGGTACAACCTTCAGGTCCCGCCTTCTGCCGTTGAAAAAGTGCAAAAGCAAGCAGCTCCAGGGGGGCCTGGGGCCCAGGCGGGAGGGCAGAGATAGCAGAGCTCCCTGGGGGGGGGGGGGGGGGGGTGAGGCCCCGGGACTGTTCCGGCAGAACCTTTCCTTTCGCCTGCACGACCACACTGTGCGTGAGCCACCCTCTTCCGAGGCAGGACGCAGACCCGGCAAGCTGTGGACGCACCGCACGGTGGCTCAGAGCCTTCACCCTCCTTCTCCGGGACCGGCCCCAACCCAGCACGCGCCCGAGTCCTGCCCTCACGAGGCAACGTCCGGGGCCACGACTCACAGAAGAGCCTTGTGACAGTTTTCAACATCCCTTCTTCTTCAGCAACTAGACCCCCTTCGATTTTAGGATTCTGGGGCCCGTGTCCTCTCCCCAGGCTGGGAACATACCAGGTCAGGATCACAGAAACGAAACAAAACAGAAGAGCCTGGAGGCCACCGTCCCCTCCTCAGGGCCCTCTCTCCCCTCTTCCACCGCTCATTGTCCTTTCCGAGCCTCGTGGGGGGTCAGCGAGGCTGGGGGCGGGGGGTGGGGGGGCCGCCAGCGCGGGGTGCGCACACGGGAGGGGCCTCCTGGGGTCTCAGCCGCCGTCGGGGGCACGGTTCTGTCTGAGCGGCGGGCCCCTCTTCTACACCACCCACCCTGTTCGGAAGACGTCCTGGGGATGGCTGGCCTCGGGCGGGTGGAAAAGCACTAAGGAGAAGCTGCAGGAACAGAACAGGCACGGAGCCGACGGGCCTGCCTCAGTGCATCCTGGTGTCGATGCCACTCTGGGTGCTCTTCATGTTCTGTTTCCAGGAGAAGAGAGGGGCGAGGAAGGGGAATTAGCATTTCCTGTCGACTAGGCTTCTCAAGACCAAAGCCATGCATGTGAGACCGCCCACTTCACCCAGACAGAAAAACACAACCCTGGGTGGGCGTCCTCACCAACTGGGCAGAAGAAAGCCCGGGGAGGCTCCGGGAATGTGGCGGGGGTTAAGCCCAGAGCTGCCCGGGAGAAGGGCCTGGCAAGGCCGGGGGAGGCCAGGCATCTGCCTCGAAATGGGGAAGGAGGGTGGGGTGGCCCTGGCGGGTCAGAGCTCTGGGGAGCACTGAGCGCCAGCACCTAAGGAAGCCTCCAGGGCCTGGCCCTTTCGCGCCTCGAGATCGCCCCCGCCCGCACCCAGGGCCCTCCTGCTGCCCGCGGCCGGGCAGGGGACGAGCCGGGACTCTCCTCCCAACAGGGTTCAGGTAGACCGTATGCTCCAGCCCCCAGAACCCACATTCTAGGAACATGGGCTCAGCAGCTAGAACACAGGTGCCCTGGGCTGAGCGGACGTCACAGGGGAGGACCCAGGCAGAGAAGGCAGGTGTCACTCACTAAAGCTCTCTTCCTGTTCCAACAAAAGCAATCTTGGCCACAAGTCCCACCCCTGAGAAGCTGCCAGAATCAAAAACGCCTTAAAAATGTTCTTCGGGGTGGTGGCTGACTCTTCATTTTGGCTTAGGTCACAATCTCATGGGTCCTGAGTTTGAGCCCCACGTCGGGCTCTGTGCCTGCGATTCTCTCTCTCCCTCTCTCCCTGCCCCTCCCCTGCTCACACTCTCTCTCTCTCAACGTTAAAAAAAATAGTTTTTCAATCGGCTGGGAGCAGATGACAGCTGCCACTGCACAGCAGCAGCCTCTCTGCCTGACTTGAATCCGCCGCAAAGAAAGGAAACACCACTTTTGTGAGTGTTCTTTCCCTCCCTGTGTCCACCGAGACTGTCTTAAAGGGACAGGGTGAGGGGAGCGTGGACGCTGGGCACGCACATATGCAGGATCATGGCAGCCCATTCCCCTCCAGGCAGAACCAAGGGCCCACCGTGGAGAAATCTCTAGGGACTCGCAGAACCCGCACTCAGACCTGAGCCCGCTCTCGGCCCGACTCCGCCCAGGCCACCCGACCCTCCAGTCACGAGCACATCAGACAGTGTCTGTGAGTGGGGGGGTCTCCCGGGAGGACCCTGTGGCCTTGCACCCAGTCTCCCCCGATGTGGGGTCAGAGCCCGGGATGCTGCCAGGTCCCGCTGCACCTGCCGGCTTCCACCCACCCTCAGACATCTCGCGCCCAAGGCTCCGAGCGCCCACGGATGATAGATGCAACAATGACACTGGGGACCACGTCACGTCACTCACTCATGGTGCCCTGGCTCAGGCCACACAGAGGGGAAGGAGGGAACGAGAGAGAGAGAGAGAGGACCTCGAGACAATGGTGCTGCTCTTGAAAGACACAAGTCGTCCGGCACGGGTGTATGAGTCACATACTGCACGATGGCCCGTCGTCACACAGACCAAGATGCCCTGACAGGCTGAGATGCCATGACTCGGGGAGATGCAGAGGGGACAGAGAGGGGCATGCACCGAGCCATTTACCTTTCCAAGGTTAGTAGGGAGAAAACTTTGAGAAAATGTGACAAACAGTTCGTCTTTCAAGCATAGTGGGGGGAAGGGAAGAAAACATGTTGGAAAAGAAAAACAAAACAAAACATCTTTAGTACTATCTTCTTTTCAGTGCGCGTTTGAAACTTAAAAATCAAGGATGGCCGGATGGTCTGGTGGCCGGGAGCACTAGTGTGGCCCCCCAGGGCGCTGCATCCATCCGGGCTGTCGTCACCGACCGTGACAGTTTCACCACGAAGCCACGATCGCTCGTGTCCTCAGGCCACGACCCGTAAGCCCCCAGGGGTGCCCCACACTCCCCAGGCTCCCGGTGCTCCTGCTACTCAGGAGAAGAAATCCCACTGGCCTGTGTGGAAGGGACGGCGGGGGGGGGCATCAAAATACAGAGCAAGTGCAAGCCCAGGGGCCTCGGGCATCCCCCCAAAGTGCAGGGCACTACCTTCCCCACGATAACGACTATGCTCCGCTGGACCCTGAGTACGCACCGGGCACTCTGCTAAGTGCTACGTGTATACTCTCCTGATCAAAAACACCTCAACGTGTCACCGCCTCCACCTTACGGACAAGGAAGTAGGTGTGCCAGAATTGCGTCACCTCGCCCAGAATTCTAAAGAGGGAAGGTAGTAAAACCGAGATCCAAGCCCGGCTCAGTTCGATTTTAGCGGTAAGTCTGCAATCCCAGACACAGGCCCACGCTCCCAGGCTGGGCTGGATGCTGGGACCCCAGAGTGGCGTGGCGGGTCCAGAGGAGACACTTCTGCTGAACTGGAGGCATTCCAACTGGAAGCACTATTAGCCACAGAGACGGGCAAGGTCAACCTCGGAAGGTGGGGGGATGTGCCTGAGAGGACCCTCCCAGCAGGAAGAGCTCTTTCCTGGCAACATCAGGCCACGGCCCAAAAAGAACAGAATATGCACAGAGGCAAAAGCGGAAGGCTCCAAATCCAAAGGCCCGTTTTCACCAAGGGGAACTCTTGATCTAGACGCACTCCGTGTTCTACGCCTGACTTCAAGGAGGTACCAGACACGGGGCGGTTCGTCTTTAAGACTGAATTTAACGGACAGTTACACACCCAGCCGTGGAGGGTGGCTGCATGGGGACCCTGCAAGGGCTAGAAAGGAAACCCAACAGCTCGGCCCGGTGCCTCACAGCTGCCCGGGACAGGGGTAGGTGAGCAGTCCCTTGACCGTTCCCAGAAACCAGCAGAGAGAAAGCAGTCAGCCTTCAGGACCAGGAGACCCGTTCAAGTCCTGGTTCTGCTACTGACCGGCTGGCCGGCCGTAGGCAGGTGCCTCCCCCTCGGTCATCTGGTAAAAGGGACACAACTGCCCTGCAGACCTCCTGGGCTTATTTTAAGGCCCAAAGGCACGGAACACACGTGAGCAAGCACTTTCGCCGTGAGCTGTCCAGTATCCCAAAATAGATTTCCCCGCAGGCGGTGCCACGGAATCGAAGCACCATGCTCCGCTACTATTTTCCAAGAACAAGCCCCGCTTTGAAGCTGACAGGCTGGACTCCTCGAGCCAGCTCAGTTTTTGCATCAAGTGGCGAAAAGAACTTAATCAGCAAAAGGGACGACGGGCAGGTGTGACCTGAGGGGCTGGGGTGAGGCGCACTGGAACAGCGGAGACACTGAATTATCTAGCAGGCGCTCCGGCAGACCCTTAACCAGAAACTTCTTGCAGGGAGAGCTCCGGCTGAAGGAGAGGGGAAACCAAGGGTCTGACCGGAACGCTGCACCTGACCCTGAACGTGACCGTTAAGGCTAAGCACGTGCTGGTACAGGACAACCGGACCCAGAACTACGGTTTCCCAGGGTGTCGGGGTCCGGGAGCCTCTACGAGGACAGAAGGGGGGGGGGCTTCAGGGCTGCAGCCCCCACCACACTCCCACCAAGAGTCTGTCCTCCGTTTGTTTTGCAGATTTTGCCTTCTAACGCGCAAGGCCTCTCCAAGGGGAGGCACAGAACTTAAAAGACAATGCAAGGGGCATAAGACCCAGCCTGGCACGGAAATCTGACTCTGAAGGAAAAAGCAGACTTCTGTCAAGCCACGGGCCACCGCGAGCACTGGTAACCGGGACCCCGAGGGGCGTGCGAGAAGCCAGCCGTGTGCGGCAAGTGCCGGCAGCCAGGCGCGCTGAAGCCAGCTTGGCCGTGTGGCTTCTTGTCTCCTTTTCTAGAAGTTCATGAATCCTCCCTCCCTCCGCCCCCATGCCCATCCTTCTCTATCAGATATGACAAAACCCGTCATCACCCGCAGCATTTTCACAGGCAAAAGGCCAAACCCGCAAGCAAGGAGAAAGAGGGGCGAGTGGCAAAACGATTCAGAGAAAAATACTTACAAACAGGCTTTCCCTAGCAAAGGCTGCAGAGAGAAAAAGCGGAGAGAGAGAAGTCAGTAGAGGACAGGGTACAGGCCCCGAGTCATTCGAAACCAAGGCATCCTCTGTGGGGACACGAAGCCCTGTCCGGCCTCCCGGCCTGGCCCACCCAACGGCTTCCAGACGTCCCGGGGATTTGGCCTGGCCACCTCAAAAGGACAGTCCCGTCCAAGTCGGGGGAGCCCCAGCCACGCGTCCTCCGTGACCCTCCTCCGGGTCAGCCCCACATACCATCCAACCCCGGCCCAGGCCAGTGCCCCCCGCGTGTCTGCGACAGCAGCCGCTGAACTTCCAACTATGACCCCACGGTCTCCACCACAACTGGGCGTCACAGGCAGACCACTTCGGTTCTCAGCCTTCACAGAAAAACGCAGTAAAATCCTACAGCTACTGCCTGTGGGGGACACCAGCGTGTCAGCCGCTCAGCACGAACTACCTCGCTGGCCCTGCCTCTTGCAGTAGGTGCCACGCCCCCATTCCACAGATGGGAAAACTGAGGCCTGAAGAGGTTCGGTGGCCTCCCCGAGGCTGCACGGCCCTCTCCCCCCCATCCCAATTCCAGACACCACACAATTCAAATGAGCTTGAGGAGAAATGCAGGATAAGTCTGTGGGCCTCAGCACGGAGCTCGTAAGTCTGACTCAAAATTCAGCCCGTGAGTTATCTGTTAAGAGCCCAGATGTGGTGGGTGGGAGTGGAGGTGGGGGGGGGGGGAGGCCTCAAGGTGGCCCCCAAATATGTGCCCAGGAGTTTCTATGTCTCACGTGTTGGCAAAGATTCTTGGCTGTCACTGAGGAAAAGACTGCTCTTCTGAAAAAAATAAATCTTAATGTCCAACAGCCAAGAGCCTTCAGCTTTTAATCTCCGTAGCACATGACACAAGGAAAATCTAGCTAGGTTTTTGCTTACTGGTGTTTTTACTACCTGCTAAAGTAACTACGTGATGAAAGAAAGTGGCTGTTCCCAGGCCATCCTGCGAGTCTGGCTGTCCAGGTTGTAACCCGGCTCTGGAGGGGGACACGCTTTTCTCTAACTGGGGACCGGATGCAAGGGAGCACGTAAGGAAGGTCCTCAGCCACTGGCCTGGGACAGAAAAGACGTCCTCAGGCCACACATGGCCAAGGGCCCAGAGCTGAATGGAAACTTCTAGGGTTTTGTCTTCAATCTCGTTTGAGAAAACAAAGGGGTCGGGAATGTGAGCGGGACGCAGGCTCGGCCATTTCTTCTGCTCTGCCCAGTTTTCTGCTCCTCAGGAAAGAGGTGTGCGCGCTCAGGTCGGCGAGGAAGGACCCCAGGGTGTCACGGACGTCGTGGGAGGGCGTGCCCACGTTCTCCCCGTCCACCGCCCACACGCGCTGCCCACGGCTGCTCTCCTCCCGACCCAGACTGACTGTGAGGAAGGAGAGGGGAGAACGCACTTGTCCAGGCAGCTGCGTGGGCACCTCCGGGGGCAGGCAGTTGGGCAGGGCAGCGGAGGGAGAAGCCACATGCTCCTCAAAGCTGTTGATGCGAGGCTTTTTGGTGGGCTCGGGGCTGGCTAGTGGGGTGACACTATTGCGTCTCATGAGCGGGTTAGGTCCCTTCTTTGCATCCTAAGCGAGACAAAGACAAAAGAGAGAAGGCGACAGTTACAAGGAGTGGGGAAGTATATAAGCCAAAAAAACCCCAAACCAAACCAAAAACGTTTCTCTGCTTCTGGATTTCCCAGATACGAGACTGACCGCGGCGACTGGCCCCGGGGACCAGCAGGGGTGCCATGCTTGCTGTCCTGCGTCCCCAGTCTGCAAGAACAAGGGATGACCTCCTGGGCCCCTGTGCCGGAACATTCCAAGACACCCACTCGGACAAGCGCAACACATTCACGGCAGGCGAAGGGAGAACGCAAGACCAGCTCTGCAGACAGTCATTCAAAGGCGGCAGATGATGAGGTCGGAGAAAAGAACCCGGCCGCCAGCCTCCAAGAGAGCCAAGGAAGGGGGAGGGAGGCCTGAGTGGGAGGCTCAGGTCAACCACTGAGGGCAGGGAGGAGAAGGTGTCGGTGCCAGACTCCCTGCGCTGACCGTGAGCCAGGATCTGCACAGCAGACAAGGAACGGCGCCCGCCGCCCATCACTGCCCCCCCGGCTTGGGACGAGGAGTGCCGGCTTCAACCCCTGCCAGGGGACTAGAGGTGCAGAAACCCCGAGGTGGGCAGCAAGGCAAGCGAGGCCCAAACACGAGCCTTCCCGCCAAGTGACGACACAGTGGAGCGAGGACCTGTGTCCCCAGGCCTGTGGCTCTGCAGCCTCTAGCCCAGGGGCCTGCGCAGAGCTCTGTCTCCCTCGACACTGCCCCAGTTAGGCACAGGCAAGCGTGTGCAGGGGCCATCGGAGCCCCGTTCCGGCCCAGCCCCGCCGGTGAAGTCAGGCCGGGAAGAAAGGTGGGACCCCACCACCCACGTTCAGAAGTGGGGGCCGTTACAGGGCCGAGGCTGGCCCACCCGCTTCCCCTGTGGCCACCCGGCCGGACAAGCTGGCGGAAGCTGGGATTTTAAGGCCAAGACCTTCGGACCAGCTCCTTGGGAAACAGAGAGGTGTCCTGCTCGGACGGGAACACCACGCTCTGTGTGAGGGAAACGGTCAGCTGGCCAAACGCTGTTGTTTGACACTCGGTACAAAGTCAACCCAACGTTCCTTCCCGACCGCGTCCGGGGCAGCAATCTGCTCTACCGCCGGGGCCTCCTGCAGAAAGCCTCCACCCGCCATGCCCCGAGTCCCTCCTGCCCAAACCACCTGGTCTCTGCCCTCCCACCTCCTTTCCACGATTTCCATCTTCTTGGTAATTCTGCACCGAAGCATACACAGACGACTGAGTGGATTTGCTAATCCCGTGTGAACCAGTGCCTCTAGAACCTGGAAGGCATCTCAGCTGCCCCAAAGGAAAAGACGACGGTAACTACGCCTATTCTTGAAAGCGCAGGACGCGTCTCCCTCTTTAATACTCACGTCATGGGTTAAGTCGAAATGGGGGGAAAAAGCATGCAAAGTGAGAAAGAGAAAATGCCAAGCAGCCACATAGAAACACGAGATAGGAACACACGGTAGCTGAGGAAGAGCAGGCGAGGAGGTCACAAAGGCCGGCCAATCTCAAACCAACTACTACTCCAGAGAGAACCCGCTAAAAGACACAGGTTCAATTGCAGGCAACTCAACACGGGGACCTCTCGAGTGCTCACACCCCCTGGCCCTGTCACTCGACAAGGACCCTCTAGGGACGGAGGCCAGGACGGGGACGCTGGGGAGCAGGAGGCAGGGGGCGTTTAGACTCACCTCTGACCTCTCCCGGTGTGTGCTCACAGACTCCACGTTCAGGTAGATGGACTCTACGCGGCAACCTGGGTGGGGGGGGCGGGGGGGGACAGGGGTTGGCTTCCGGTTAGAGGGCACAGGCCGCTGACAGCCCCAGAGCCACCAGGAGCCAGCGTCCCAGGGGACATCTTGGCCGGGGCTGTGTCCCCATACTCACCGTAAGCGACAGGTGTCAGTTTCAGGACGGTGTGAAGGGGGCATTTCAGGTAAGGCATCTCCTCTGAAAAGAAAAGGCCTCGCGATCAGCTAGGAGCCTTGAGGACAGAGACACACAGGTCCCCAGTGAGAGCTTCTGCCTGTCGTCTGTGCCCCTGGAGTCCAGGCCGAGCGGGAGACAGGGGTGTCTCCTCCTCCCCGCTACACACAGGCCCCCTGCTCCAGGCAGGCAGCCTAGAAAAACCACTAGCCAAAAGACGAGAATCAAAACAAACCCCAAGCCCACCCTTGCACGGTGCACTAGAGTTAAAAAAAAAAAAATCAGGGGTGCCTGGCTGGCTCAGTCAACTAAGCGTCCGACTATTGGTTTCGGCTCAGGTCATGATCTCTGTGCTGACAGCTCGGAGCCACCTTAGCATTCTCTATCTCCCGCTCTCTCTCTCAAAATAAATACATAAACTTAAAAAAAAAAATCATTCCCCGAACAATTTAGGTGTGTCAGGATTCAAGTGAGCCTTGGGTAGACATAGGCTTAAATTTTAAGAGTCTCATTAGAGTTTTCCAGGCTCTTTGTTCTTTAGAGGTGGGCTGCCCCCGCCCCGCCCCTCCCCCCCCCCACCCCAGAGGTGAGCGGCTGGGGGCCTGCGGGAGGCTGTGCTCTGAAGGCTCCAGCAGGAGGCGCCGCCGAGGCCTTTCCTAATGCTCAGCAGCAGTGAACCCCGCGAGGAGAGAGACCCCGCGTGGTCCCGTGGGGAAGGTGCTGGTCCGCGACGTCCCCCAACTCAAAGGCTGGCTTCCCTCCGCCCTTTCTCGGAACTCCACGGGCTCCCCGTCGCCCCCACCACCCAGAGCAGGCTTGCGGGGGGGGGGGGGGGGTCGGCGGCACCTGCGCTCTTATCCAGGAAGTAGGCGAGGAGGCAACGCAGGACGGCCTGATGGCAGATGACCAGCACGTTCTCCTGCCGCTCCAGCTCCATGATCACCGGCTCCAGGCGCTGCACCAGGTCCTGGTACGACTGCAAGACAGAGGGACCCGTCGGTGCTGCTGCAGAGGCGCACGCGGGCGGGGGCGGGGCTCTGCCGCCTCAGCCACGCCCCTTCCCCCGTTAGAAACCAGAGAACACGCCATCGATCAGATCCACAGCCGGCGATCGATCCACAGCCGGCGGTGTTTCAGGGCTGCACCCCTCAGGGCCCCTGGGGACCCACATCGACTGGCTTCTTAGAAAAGGGAGGCCATCCCGGTGTTGGTGAGGATGTGACGCATCCCCCGCCAGAACATAAACCCGCCGTCCTCCCTCTAACGGCTGCCTCCTAATTCTCCACGCGGGGGGATGAGGGACTGACGACCGGATACACGCTGATAACGTGGGGGACCCTGAAAATGTCCCCTGAGTGAGAGAAGTCATACACAGTGTGACCACATGTTGTATGACCCCCTTCTGTCAAACGTACACAGTAAGCAATGCCACAGAGACGGGAAGTAGACCCTTGGTTTCCAGGGCTTGGGGGAGGGGGGAACAGGCTAGGGTTTCTTTTGGGAATGATGGAATGTTCTAGAATTTGTGGTAATGGTTGCCCGGTACTATGAATACACCTAAAAACCACTGAATCGTACAGTTTAGTGAGTTTTATATTGTGTGAACTTTCGCTCAATTAAAAAAAAAAAAAATTGAAAAAAATGGGTGGGCATGTGACTTTTAAGGCTACCAAGGTTCCTGCTCACGCCCATCCCTCTGTGGTCTCCCTTGTTCTCTCACTAATCAGGTTCCGGGAACAAGGGCCACGGAGGAGGTGAGCGCCCTGAGCAGGAGGAAACTGAAACGTGACAGACAACCGAGACGGCCCGCAGACAGCAAGGACCCGCCAGGTGTCACCAGGCTGCCTGCAGCCGACACCAGAGCATCACCCGGAGGCCGCGTCCAGGGCTCCCTCAGCGAATCAGTGATGCGCGGGACCTGAGATGACACAGTTGCCATCGCGTCTGCAAAGGGGAACCCGCGCACAGGGTGAGCCATCACCCCTGACTGCTATTGCCTCCCACGTCACCATGGGCTCATCTGAGAGACACATCTCTCGCTGGTGCTCACAGGAAAATACACCTGTGCCTCTCCTGGAGCCGTTTACAAGGTTCAGTTTAGGAAACCTGGATTCGGAAGGGAGAGTGCCGGGAACAGGCATCAGAAGGCGTAAGGGGCGGGCGGGATGCAAGAGCCCTTCCTGCCCCTTCCTCCCGGAGCACGTGGCTGCTGAGCACAGTTACCCGAATGGGGCCACCTGGGCCCCCCGCGGCCCTCTCTCAGCCTGGCCTGTCACCAGCTCCCGTGCGCACAGTACACGCCGGCTGCACCGAGTGACGCGGGTGAGAGCGGGCACACGTACCTCCCCGGTGGGGTAGCGGTAGTAGTACTTGTCCTGCTCCCGCAGAGTGTACTCCTCAGGGTAGGTGTCCCTGATCTCCTCGTAGGTCATCTCCTCACAGACACCCTGGCAGGAACACCCAGATGTCACCTCGAGTCGCTCCACGTGGCACGTGCGGCTCTGCGAGGGCTCTCGTTTCCCAGGGGAGAGACCTCCGTGCCCTCCCGCTCCCCACGGCCAAGGCCAGGCCGCGGCACTCACGGCGTCGATCTCGTTGAGCGCCTTCCACTGTTCGTAGGGGAGACGCAGGGCTTCCGCCGTCTGGATGGTGCTTTTCAGCTGGCTGGTCCACACCTTGAGGTCCTTCAGGTTCTGCTCCTCCACAAACTTGCTCAGGGCATTGGCAAACTGCAAGGGTGTGGGACAGAGGGACACGGCCTGACTCAGGCTCCTGCCCCTCCTGGAGAAGCAGAGCAAGACCTGTCTCATTCCGCGTCAGGGGCGTGACTACACTATCACACACACACATACACACACACGCATGCATGCACGCACACACACACGCACGCTGCACACACGGGATGCACCCAGCCCCTCGGCAGCCCGCCTTGCCCCCGGCTCCCCCTACCTTCCTGCCCCGGCTGGACAGACCCGAGTCCCCTCCGATCTTGCCCTGGAGGTTGTGCTCGCTCTCGCCGTGCCGACACAGGTAGATGGTGCGGGGCTGCACGTGGATGTTCATCAGGTAGTACACGATGCGGCTCTGAATGTGGTCCTGAACTCTGTTCACCAAGAACCTCCGGCCCACGTCGATCACCTTGATCAAGGACAGGTCCCTGCCGGGGAAGGCGACCAGCCGATCAGAACTCCGCTGATAGCACAGCCCAGCCCAGCCAGCCCGGGTGTAAACCCCCATGGCCCCAGCCGATGGCAGAGACTCAGCCCCCACAGACCCACGAGGGGAGGGCGCAGACTGAATCTGTGTTCTCGGAGACAGAACACGTGGGCACTATCCACAGCAGTGTGTGGTCAGAAGAGGGGAGAGGGAGGCGGAGACCAGAGCAGAGAGAAAGGACACACATGTCAAGGGGACAGGAGCAAGACGGGGCTCATGTGTGTACTTCCGTGCTTCTACAGTTAGTGCCGGAAACAGTCACACGGAATACGCAATCAAGGATTTTTTTAAAGACTTTTTTTTTTTTTTAATTTTTTTTTTCCACGTTTTTATTTATTTTTGGGACAGAGAGAGACAGAGCATGAACGGGGGAGGGGCAGAGAGAGAGGGAGACACAGAATCGGAAACAGGCTCCAGGCTCTGAGCCATCAGCCCAGAGCCTGACGCGGGGCTCGAACTCACGGACCGCGAGATCGTGACCTGGCTGAAGTCGGATGCTTAACCGACTGCGCCACCCAGGCGCCCCTAAAGACGTTTTAAAAGACAGTTTATAAAAGGATCCAGGAGCAAGTGCTTTGTACGGACAGCACGAAAACACTAAAAAACAAACAAACTCTACCAAAGCAGAAAAGTCAGAGACAGTCACCTCTTCGTTATTACCTGTCACATTTATCAGGGTCGAGGGGCTGATAGCTGGCTTCGTAGCAACTAATTCTCTTCATGAAGTCGTCCATAGCTTCTGCTGAGTTGCAATCTTTGTAATCCGGGCTAGAGATTTTAACTTCCTGTAACACCACAAAGAGGCAGCTGATGAATCACGCTGGAAGGCTTTCTGCTTAGACGAAGCGGGATTTGGGGCTCGCAAACAGGGAAAGTACAGACCAGCTCAGAGTAACGATGATCCCACCCAGCGTTGAAAAGAAAAAAAGAAATACACCGGGCTTGAGTTCTAACCCAGTGATGCCACAGTCAGAGCACCCACAGTGGACAGGGGATCGCTCCCTGGAAGGACGTACACAGGAAAGCCACAGGCTTCTACTGAACACATCCAAATGGGGCCACGATTCGGGGTCAACCCGGTAGCCAGGTCGTCCCCAGACCGCCAAGCCTCAATTCGAGCTCTGGATCCACACCTGCAGCACTCCCCACACCAAGGGCCAGGCTGTCGGTCAGCGAAGGCACGCTCCCGAATTGCGGGTGATGCCCTGCCCTGTGCGCCAGGCAGGATTCTTCCTGCCACCACCCATGGATGGGGCACCACATGCTTGTAACTGCTCCCCAACTAGTGCTTCTCCACCGGGCCCAGTCCTTTCTAAGGTTTGCTCTTATGGGAAGAGAAAGCAGAAGAAACAGCCCTCGGACTCACCCATCCCCTGTAAGTGAACAGTAGGTCTGAGAAACCTGGCAGGGTTTTTAGCAAAATTCAGTGAAATTTTAGCGAAATTTGTTCCTGCACGTGCTCTTTTCCTCTACAACCACCACCACTGCCAGGAGGCAGGCAGACACTCTTTAAACACATGAGTTCAGGGGCGCCTGGGCGGTCAGTCGGTTAAGTGTCTGACTCTTGATTTTGGCTCAGGTCATGATCTCACGGTTCGTGAGACCGAGCCCTGCATCAGGCTCTGCACTGGCTGCAGTGCCTGCTTGAGATTCTCTCTCTGCCCCTTCCCAGCTCACGTGCTCGCTCTCTCAAAATAAATACATAAACATTACAAAATAAAACCTGAGTTCAGTGGGGAGTCAGCGCTTCACGTGTGCAGAGTCTCGGTCTGGGAAGATAAAAAGGTTCTGCGCATCCGTGGTGGTGACCACGGTGCAGAGACCTGAGCGTGCTGAGTGCCACGGGATTGAACACTTGCGCGGTGAAGACGGTAAATTGTATATTTTACCACGATGAAAAACAATCTAAGTTCCCAAATCCCTTTCTCCCTAGCACGGCCGCCGCCAGAGAGCATGCTGGGAAGGCCTACCCTGCAAAGATGCTCTGGGGCTTAATCGGAGACACAAGATTCCTGAACCCGGAGAGTCGGGGCGAACAACTGGATGTGTTAACAGAGGACAAGATCGGTGGTGAGCTCCTAGCCACGCACGTGCTGACTGCTCACTGCGGAAAATGCACTCTGCGTCCGTGCTGTGCTTTGCTACCAAGACGAAGCTAGTAGAACGAAACTAAAGGAACGTAGCAAAACCCTTTGTCCAGATCACAGCAATTTCTGTTCTACCTCCCCGTCCTTTGGGCCTCTTCCTCTGGACCCGATGAAACGCATCTGGGTTTTCCACAATGTGAACAGCCCTTTCTGAGCTATGAACTCCGTTCTTAGAAATGCTTGTACACACTCCCACCGCCCTGGAGAAAAGTTCCAACATCGGAAGCCAATGAGTCCTCAGCAACCCTCTAAAGATGCGCGCTTGTAACGCAGCAAACCCCAGCATTCCCTGTAGAGGCATCAGACCTGCTTTTCATTAGAGACACGGCTCATTCTCATGTATTTAAGCTGCACAGAAAATTAGCTACATGAGAAAGTGACCTGTGGTAAAGTCTTCATGGTAACGGCTTCCATTTATGGTATATTGCTTTCAAGTGACAAAACTTAAGAATTAATCAAATTAAGCTGCCAATTACCCTCAGTTTATCTGGGCAACCTCCCTCGGCACAGGGCGAGGAGAGGGGTATGTTACAGACAGGTCAGCAGGAAGATAGTTTTACTGCCCCCGTTTTTCCCACACTTGGGGGGATTCTGCCTTTCAGTCTGTTGTGTCCTATGAAGTTTTATCAACACACAGTCATTCTTTTCTACTGGGGACCTTCACAGCTAAAGAGAGTCCAGCCTGCTGCCTTCCTTCCCTTCTGGAAGGGTGAGCTGCCCTTTGTCCCAAGCAGCCCTGTCCCCACCCAGCTGCCAAGCTACTGCCACTCACAGAAACTGTTCCCAGGCCCCTGCTTTTTATCTCTTAGGTCCCGCAAAGGCTGCTTTCTGCCAACCGCCTGCAAGGACCCCAGATAAAGCCAGGGCAGGTCACAGAACATGCTTCTAAATTAAACACCACTCCACACCTCCCACCTTCCCGGTCCCACGACTCAGACAAAACCAACAGGCTGGGACAGCCGGCTCGTTCTCAGCGTCTAGTTACTGCTCTGGGCCCGAGCTGGTTCCCCACTTTTCTCAGACTGTCGCCCTACAGTGGGGTCCTACGTTGTCTTACCATGATGTTGGAGGCCACAACCATAGGGTCATCGCACACAGACTCAATGAAAAACACCTGGAAGAAAGCAAAGAGGAAAGTTAGAAAACCACAAATGTGACACACACAAAGCGCGGACGCTGGTGTCACTGTGATGTCACCAACCTCATTTGAGGAGGAAGGACCCCATTTACGAACACTCAAACACATAAAAAGAACTACCTGCTCAACCCTGAGTCCTTTGCCCATCTCACACCCTAGTCTGGGTAACCGTCCCCCCACTCCCAGAGCCCCCACAGGAAAGGCCCAATGTGTCCGCAGCAAAACAAGAGCAGCGGGAGGTAGAGAACCAGGCCCGGAGCAGAGACACAGGACTCAGCCCGTCCCCGAGCTGCCTTCCCTGCTCCCGCATGCTCCAGAGCAAGTTCCGCTCACCTTGAAATCATTTTCTTTGGCAAAATGAAGGATCATGTGTCTCCTCTCTCTGGTGGTATTGGTGGCATCGAACACCTGATGGGGAGACAGTAGGGCCGTGAAGAGAGGCCACGTTCGAGATGAACAGTAGGGTACTTAGAGCCAACGAACAACAGCTACACACAGGGTAGGGTGCACGTGGAAGGGACCCCTGGCTACCGCAGCGGCAGCCCCCACCCCGGTCCACCCCCTCCCCCCGCCCCAGCACACAGGGGAGGGGTGGGCACAGAGCACAGCACCAGCCGTGCTCCAGGTCCGCCCCCCGCTAACCACTCTCCTGGCCCCCCCCAGCGCTGCTCTAGGCCGTCGCTCCCCTCAACTCTCAGGCCACAGGCACTTGTCCCTTTCCGAGGTGTCCCTGCGGCGGCTCTCGGCACTGCCCGGGGCAGTGCCTACACTTCTGTCTCCCCAGGGCACCGTGTGCTATGGCCTCAGACACAGAGCTGGCACCCCGCCCCCGGACTTACTGCAATTTGGCCCCCTTCCTTCGTCAGGTAACTTTTGACGTCTCTCAGGGCAGCCAGAGCGCACTGCCTACAACAGGCAGGAAGAGAAAGCACGCGTCACGCCAGCCCGTCCGGCGGGGGAAGGCCCAGCAACCCGCCGCTCATCCCAGCGAGCAGAGTGAGGAAACCGCCAGGCCGGCGGGGGCTGCGGGGCCCAGTCCACTCGGGCCCACAGGCTCCCAGTCCAGCCCCGCAGACAGGCGGCTGCGGCTGCCCGTGGGAAATGGGGCTCATGCCCGGGCTGCGCCCCGAGATCTCACTGGGAGCTTTTACAGAGCTGACGCCCAGGTCCGGCCCATGGATTCTCACGGCTCTATGCAGGGCACGGCCCACATCCGGATCTCCCCAGGCTCCCAGGTGACCCTACAACACTTGTCAGGGTTGAGCGCCATGGCACTTGGGTTTCACGACCACCCTGGGCTTACAAGAAAAATCCTCTCCAAATGGAAGCGGAAGGTTTTCCGCAAAAATGGCCTTGTTCACTCCCAACGAGACACTGCTGTTGATTTGTATCAACCAGCGGCCGAGTTAGACCCTCCGGGAGCAGAGGAGGCAGTGAGTTTCACGGAGGCGGCGCCTCATCCTAACACACCCGGAGGTGGGGTCACATGTCATGGCCACAGCGGAGCCACGCCGCAGACCAGCTTCTTCTTTCTCCGACAGAACCTGGCTTCGGGAAGCCGAGCAAACCCAAGCCCAGGCCCCCACGGCAGCTCGGGCCTTACTTGCGGACTTTCATGGCCTCCTCGTTGTCGGGGCGAAAGAAGCTGTAGGAGCTGTACTGTTTGACGGCCTCCCGGCGGTACTCCCCGACGTTGAACACTGTGGGGACAAAGGCGGGAACCCTTAGCTGACCCCCCCAGGAAGAAGGAGCCACCAACATCTGGGAGCTCTCTCTAAAAAAGGAAACCGAGCCTACACAGCAACACCAACCTGAATGAGGTTCTGCTGAGACACCGAAGCGGGAGAGCGGACCTCCACACCCAGGGCTGCGAGCCCAGAAGGCAGCCCAGCTTCCCCCAGACCCGACGCTGCCTGGGGCCGCTCTACCTTCCCAGGGACTGGCTTCCACTGCCCCGTCTGCAGGTGCAGCGTCCTAAGGCTGTGCGGAGGGGCGGCTGCCACGGGTCCCGCGGAAACAGGGGCAGTGATTCCTGCGCACGATCCCCCAGGACAGCGCAGGGTCTCACGCGTGCCGTGGGGCCCAGATCTGCCATTCACCTACTGAGCCAGCAGCCTGCGCCCCAGGGAAGCGTGGAGCATTTACACGGCATTCACCACACGACACAACGCGCCAGGCACCGTGGGGGACAGTGGATGCAAAACCTAGTCCCCCACCTCACCACCTTTCCGGTGTAGTCGGGAAGACCAGGCCAAGAGTCATACAAAGGTAGCCGATGGTGTGGAACATTTGACGACAGTCAGTAGAAGAATGTCACAACTGAGTGCTAGAGTACTTAAAAGGGCACAGGGGCACCCAGGTGGCTCAGTCGGTTGAGCATCCGACTTCAGCTCAGGTCATGACCTTGCGGTTCATGAGTTCAAGCCCCACGTCAGGCTCACTGCCGTCGGCACAGAGCCTGCATCAGATCCTCGGGTCTCCCTCCGTCTCTCTGTACCTCCCCCGCAAACACTCTCTATCAAAAATAAATTTTATAAAAAAGGGGAGGGCCCAGATCTCCACAGACCATGTGGCCAGAGAAGGCTTTTTGAAGGTGGTGAGGGCTGAGCAGGTTGTGGGGCAGCAGGAATGACAGAGCAGGAAAAGAAAAGATCCCAACGCCAAGCGAGGATAAGTATATAGTGTACCGAGTGACAAGGCCCAAAAGGGTGCCCCATGCTTGTGGGCACAGGCTAGCCCAAGACTGGCCCTGCACGGCAGGTCCCAGCAGCTGGAGGTGGAAGGGACGTGGTTTTGGTCGTAGGGGTTGGTGAGCAAGAGTGAAAGACTCCAGGTAACGACCCTGGCCTTGGCACACGCCTCACCTTTCGTGGGGACGCCGATCCAGTTGAGGTATCGAGTCAGCTTCTTTGAGATGTACGTCTTACCCCGGGCTGGGAGCCCCACCATGACGATCACCGTGGGGGAGTTGGTCAGCTTCGGCCCACAGGCTGGGGAGAGGACAGAGCGAGGTGTCAGCCATGAAGCAGTGTGTGCCCCACGGCGAACCTTCAAGAATTCCGCAGAAATGCCTTTTTCGCTCCCACCTCAAAGCCCTGGGCGTTTTACAGTCCAGCAACGCCTCGACCCTCTACTGGCCAGAGCCCCGCCCCAGCCCAGTCACAAATCTCCATCTTCCTTTCAGGTCACGCGTGGCAGGGGGACTGCCCCCCAACCCCAGATTCCCAACCTGATTCCTGAGGGCCCTAAACCCAGCCAGGAATCCCGCTACTAACCCCAAAGCAGAAAGCGTTACAAGGAAGGGATTCCCCAACACCAGTGGGGGTGAGGTTAACGGTAGGAGAAATGTTCCAATAATAAGACAAAACACCAGGGAGAGAGGTTTTCGCTGGATTTTAAGAAAGCAGCCCAAAGAACCCTGTTCTGGAGACTTAAGGTGCAGTGTTTCCTTGGCTGGTGTCTTATGCTTGAGACTCTAAGGAGACTCCAGCATCTGGTGACAAGAGCGGCAGGGGCTGCCCATTGAGAGCACGAGACTGGCTGCCTGCTCCCTCCCGGGTCAGCAACACTGCCCGGTGCTCGCTGGGCGCCACAGGCAACCTCGCTCTCCTGGCCAGCTACGTGCCATCGCTTCCGGGCACTGGTCACCCCGATGAGGCAAAGCTCCTGGGACCACACCACAGATCTAGGCAGATGTCAGACATAGACAGGGGCTCTGTCTCTAAGCCAGCGAGTGCCAGATGGGGATAGGAGAGCCACCAGGCCACTGCCAGGCACAGGCTTCAAAGAGGACACCTTCCCTAAGCTGGACGCCCCAACACGGTCCCATACTCAGCTTATGACCAAACTGAGATCACATGCCCAAACAACACCCACCACGTTATTCCGGGATCTGCCCCCTGTGCCTGTGGGCTGGGGGCAGAGAGGAAGCAAATGGAACACAGAGGGGGCTGTTTCTTCATGTTCTAGACCATGCAGAGTGAGGAGGAAGAAGAAAGGCCATCAGGAGGCCAGGAGACATGTAGGAGTCACAAAAGCACTTGGCTGGGATTCTCCAGCTCCCAGTAGCTGGAACAAACACGTTCCTAGAAGAAGGCATTTCCCTGCCCGGTGTGAGCACACAAGTGGAGCACAAAAGCGCCAGTGGACTTCCTTGAGTCCCAAGAAAAGTGACGGGCTTCTCGAAAACCGGCGGGGACAGAAGACAACGCCCTCCCGTGTGCATCGGGGCAGCCGCAGGTGACACGTGAGAAGTCGTCTCACTTAGTCGCCTGGAAGCACCGACTCTACTAATCCTTCCCTCAAGCCACAGCTGGCTCCTGGTCTTATCTGATGTCCCCACCATGCCCCTGCTCCCAAGAGCGTCCAAACATGCAGGGACGGACGGACGCGCGCTCCCTCTCCCTCCCTCCCCTCAGCTGGGCACGTGCATGGAATACTTTTGATGGACTCACGCCAAGTGAGCGGAGACAGAGGATGACTGATTTATCAAATCAGGGATTAGTTCTACTATCAAGGAACCACATGCGCAAATCTCTGGCAGGAGACGCTTTGAGAGGGAAATCCCATAAAGACATGGCAGAGTAAATATCGTAAGCCAAAAATTCAAGTTGAATCTCAAACCCAAATAAGTCATCACTCTTTTATTTGGCAAAGCAGAGACCATTCTCCCTATTCCTTTGGCTCCTTGCACAAGATTTGGAGGAGCTGCACACGGGCTGTGGCTGTCATTCCAACCAGGCGCTCCTGGGTCTCAAACAGAGCAGGGAAACCTCCTGACTAAGCCTCCTGAATCCTAACATGTTCTTCTTTCAAACTCACAGGCCATCTCAGGTGTCTTCATCTTATAACCACCTGCCCCTGCTTCAGTTCCCCCCAGACCCTCAGTCTCTTCTTCTCTGTGGATCCTGTTAACCCACAGAAGAGCGCCTCCTTCCACCTCCCACACCGTCTTCCCCAGAGCTCTGCTTTTTCCTCTTCGCCCCCCAACAAGCACAGGGATTAGGGAAGATAAGCGTGGAGTTTAACACAAAATCTTCCAAAAAATTCTCGTGTGCTTCATTTCATCGTATACAAACATTTAGCATGTTAACCTATTTTGGACCTCCCCCCCCCCACCCCGGCAAAGAGTTTTTATCCTCAGATGTGTTTAGACGTGAAACTTGGATGTCAACGTAAGCATGTTTAAGGGGATACACGTATGCTCACTATGTTGAAGGGCTAAAGAAGCAATTGCTTGAAGACCGCGGGGTTAACAGACTATAAACATCTTGGCTGCAGTTTGGGGTGGGGCACGGGAGGGATGGAGCTCAAGCTAAAAGTGTCATCCAGAGTTAAGGCTGCCACTTGAGTAAAAGATCGCGGAAAACCACCACGTTCTGGGACGCCACCCTCAACTCTGTCATTCCATTTACTCATTCACTCAACAGACACAGGTGCTAGGTGCCCCGTGAGCACAGAGCATTATGTGGACACCGCCCCTGTGCTGGGAAGCATCCGGCCTGCGGTGGGGAACAGACAATGTATGAGCTAACAGACGCACAAAGTCATTTCGGAGCGGGATAAATGCTGTGATGAAAGCAGAGGGCTGACACTGGGGCTAGGGGTCCACGGGGGTCTGTTTGAATCGGGGAGCCAGAGTCTGTGTCCCTGAGCAGCACCTGAGCTAAGGCCTGATCGTCCACAGCCAGCCCCACCCGCTTACCAGTACATAACGCACACTGGCCACGTGTGTGTTCCCCGTGTGTATGTGGACACAGGAAAGCAGATGATAACCAGGAGGCCGGCTGGTAAGGGGAGTGAGCCACAGCCTCCGGCGACAGGCCAGGGTCTGTCGTCCTGGACAGAGCAGGCTGCATTCTAGGGTTCCTATGCCAGCCCCACTCCCCAGACGAAATGATTCACCTCCCTGATAACGTGTAACGCGCGGACACAGGCAGGAACGCCACAGCTCGCCCACCACACTGACACCCACAACCCATGCTCAGGAAATAAACTGTTAGAAGACGCTGCTGGCTCTCTCACACCTCCTGCAAGCTTTCTTCTATCCAAAGCCACTCGAAAATGACAACTTCAAAAGATGCCACGTCACTGGCATTCTTTTTCGGCAAGCAGGTGATCACGCTTCAATGCTAAGTTCCAGGGAAACAAATGAAAGGGCTGTTTAGGACAGACGGATGGCCAGCTGCAGGTGCAGACAGGGTCAGTTCCCCGATGCAAGGCAAACCCAATGCTGCACAGAAAGACCTGTTGTGACCCCGCCATCACGCCGGGCCACCTCCGAAGGGCCCTCTGGGAAACAGACTTCATGGACTTGGCCCCGGGATAACAGAATGCAGGCCCAGAAAGTTCTGTCCCATACCATGCTCATTCACTACCTCCCATGCACACTTCAACTCCTGCCTAACTGACCTGCGTCCAACGAACAGCCCTCCTAACCTGACGCGGTCTCTGCCGGCAACAGGGAGGGGCTGGGCATTTTAGAGAAACATTTGACAGCCTTGAGAGGCAGGAGATAGCACAGATAGCCTAGCGGCTGAGAGAGCGGAGCCGGGAGTCAAATAAATAGTGTTGGAAGTGCCAGGGCCCCACCCCTTCCTCGGACCTTGGTGAAGTTACTTGATCTCTCAGCGTCTTAGTTTCCTGGCCTGTAAAACGGAGGGATGCTTCATAAAGGTTCTTGGGAGGATTCACGACCGGGCGACGCGCGTGAACTGCTTCCTAGAGCAGCCTCCATCGGTATCAGCCGTGACGGTTTCCATCATACCAGATGTGAAGAAGCTAAGAGCTACAAGCGAAGACAGGTCCCGCTGCACAAGTCATGAGGCACGGAACTGGGGCTCACCTGGGTCTCTCTCACCTGAAATTCTTCACGTGCCCTTTCCTAAACTAAACTGATGGTTCTCAACCAGTGGCGGAACCGAAAAAGCTTTTAAACGACGCAGGATCCCCGGACCCCGCCTACGGGACTTCTAACCTGGCTTGGGCTACCAGTAGGGATTTTCCTTTTCTTATTTTCCCCCCAAATCCGCCCCCCGCCAAATGATTGTCAAGTGCAGCCAGGGCTGGGAATCACTGCTGTAAGCTGTAGTGGCCAGCCGAGGATAAGGTAGGGGTTTCTGGGGAACGTCCCCCTTACCTTAAGTTCGAATACCATCAGTGGCTTTAAGCCCCTATTGAGATAAAGTCTATCCGTAGACAGTATGTAACATATCAGACTGTAACAACAGGTTCCCGGTGGATAAGTAACTGGCCCAAATAAGTAAGGACTTCCACCCAGGCCCCCCCCCCCCCCCCCGCTTTTAGTGATGGTAAACAAATAGCATAGCTAGCCAGTCAATAATCTACCTCCTTGTCGATGACTTCCTTGTCAGTAAATCCTGTTACCGGTTTGCATTTGAAGGAAACGGCAGGTTTTGTAAGACGCATTTACCACCCTGTGCACATTGCAACAGGGCACCCAACTGATGTGCTTTAGCGCCAAAAAGACAGTCCAACTAACCAACCCAGAGCCTTCCATTGTCGCTCTCCTGTCCTCTGTACATGAATGGTAATGTTCACCACGCCATCTTTTCATGAACAAACCTCAGAGGAACCTGCTGTCGACTCTCATCTAAGACACCACTTAGAAAGATGGTAACAGGTTCAGAAGGAAGAAAATCCACCCAAGTTTCCAAATACCATTACAGAAGGGGAGGAGGCTGATGGGGGAGGGGGACGGTATCAGGAAAGACGCAACAAGAAGAGATACCCTCTCTTCCCCATTCTGATGAGACACAAATGTGACTATATAACCCGAGAAAGACAGCACAACTGGAAATAAGGTCATGTAATAAATACCCAGGGTGCAGGCACTCTTGTAAGGAAGAATGTGTCTGAGACTACACCCCAGAACCACACACGGGGATTCCAGCAGTGGGCGGGGACAAGGGACTAAGAGACTTAATCCATCAGCTTTAGCACCCACCCCCCTTACACACACCAGGGATAT